GAAGACGAGCGACCAACAAAAATTATCCAGAACGAAAAGTGACACTGAAGATGGCACAACGCCGAAACCGGTTTCTATCCAAACCAAATTTGACAAGGGATGATCGGAAATTCGTTCCAAAATACATCATACACCCACCCTGACGGAAACAGCAACAACCAAAAAGGAAACATTTCTTAAAGCTTATATGTCGAAAATCATTGAACCGATGAAAAATTGGGAGACAGTTAGAAAGGTGATTGAAGGACCTTTCATTTGATATATATATCTATGTATTTAATGTAAACGTATTTCGAGAAAAAGTAAAAAAACGAAATTATGGCATTATTTTTTATAAAACGTATATTTTTCGTAAAAAAATACGTGATTAACTATATTATCAAATACGTTTATCGGAAAGAGCACAAAAATACATTTAATTTGATATATGATTTTTAACAAAAATTTCTTCTGCATATCATATTTGGCTAAATATATATTAAAATATGGTTTATATGAAAAGAGAAAAAAGCTCCACAGGCGAAAAATCGCGCGATGTTTTATTCCAAATTTTCATTAGCTATACAGTTAACTATCGTGTTATATAAAAAATTTTAAAAAGCGATGCAAGCGAAAGTTTTTATTAGGTACATATGTATATATTAAAGTAGAGATGGGCAACTCAGCATATTCGCACTGTGCTCGCAGCGTGCACTCTCGGGCTACAGGGGCTTGATGAAGTGAGGTTGCCAAAGCCCGGGGGAAAGGGAGAAAATTTGAGCAAGTGTGTAACCGGAATACCAGGGCTAATATGCGTGAGTACTTACCAGGGATGTCAACTCTAACAAAGCCGATTCCCCCCAACTCTTTTGAAAATTACCAAATTTTCAATTGTATTCTCAGGAACGAATTTCTTCCACAATTTGAGGTAACTTAATTTTCGTTTTTAATTAAAACATGCAATAAATATACCTACGTTGTAATATTTTAATTAATATAGAAGAAAAGTAGCACGCTGCATATTCTATTCATATTCTATATTGATGCTTGAAGTGTGCACATCGGCGGATAAATGCATCCAAGCCATGTTATTTAATTGAATTTTTGATAAATGAGGCTAAATTACTATAAGTATATGTATGTACGTACATACAAGTAAAATATAAATAAATTTAAGTAACACATACATAAAATATTGACGCGTTCGAAACGCGGCTTGCAGCGTTTTGAAGGCGTCAAAGAAGAAGAAGAAAGGTGTCACAGCAATAAAGGCAAAGAAAAAAAACGTGTAATGTACAAAAACTAATAAAAACGTTCGTAATAATAGTATTTTGTACGATTTGGGCACGCCGAGTGCGAAAATACACGAAATAAAGGGAAAATTGAGTGAATTGTACATCGGAAATCGACGCGAAAAAATCGCTCAAGTGTGCGCACGTTTGCGGATTCAAAGTTAACAGCCGAATTCGCAACGTATTCGCAACGACAGAATCGCGCCAATGTGCGCTTCGCTTTTAGCAAATGTACATTTACGCGAGTTCGAAATCGTATGCTTTTGACAAACAGCCGTGTTCCAGTCGCTTATTCAGATCCGTATCTATTACGATCCTTTCTTACGCAGGAGATAATGTGCAAAAAGCCCTACTGAAAAGGAAAAAATAAATTTTAAACCAAAAATTCAATAGAAAAACTTGAGTCGTTTTAACCATAACCGCACATTTGTTTGTGTATATGTATATACATTTGTCGGTGCTGTCATTTAAAATTTCCTCTTTTAATTAGGAAACAAAATAGATTTGATCACAAGATCCAGATTTCTGTTAGCATCACATCGATGTTGAATTTGCGTAACTTTTCTTTATCCAAATAATGTAAAATAATAAATGAAATCTCGATCGGCGATCACTGAAACGCAGCTAGCCACTATATACTATAGCAATGTTGCCACTTTTTCTCATTAAACTATGTTCGAATCGTGGAAATTTTGGAAGATCACAGGGTTGCTTTTAGCATTTAGATTCTTAATGCGAAAATGGTGTTGCATTTAGGTGACGAATTTTGTATGAATAAATGCAAATTTAGAGCTAAATGTGCCTTTACGCGTAAAACTGACTACACACGACGAACATCTGCGCGCACATATGCGCCAACATGCTCGCTGTCGTTAGCTACAGACGACGAGCGGCTCATAAGTAATTTTGTACTCAAAGCGTAAACATGGAAAGGAAAGACGCGGATGATGCAATTGCAATGCTTTTAACTTAACTTTTTTATGTATGTGTTACTTAAATTTATTTATATTTTACTTGTATGTACGTACATACATATACTTATAGTAATTTAGCCTCATTTATCAAAAATTCAATTAAATAACATGGCTTGGATGCATTTATCCGCCGATGTGCACACTTCAAGCATCAACACAAAATGAGGTTGTTTTTTTTGTTTCCAATGCGATGCTCGCAAACCACGCTACAAACGACGAGCACGCTCGCTGAAAATCAAAATTTTTTGATTTTTGGCGAGCATGCTCGCAAACCGCCCTACAAACGACGAACATGACCCGCAAGCCGCGCATGTGCGCGGATATGTTCGTCATGTGTAGCCACTTAAGCAAAAACAGCCCATAACACCATGATACAAAAATAGAAGGTAGTTTCATTTATTCACATTCGTTGTTGTTGCCGACCACTTGACTTTTAACAAGTTTGTGACATTTAACTAAAATCATGGTACCAGATTCACCAACAGCAACATTTTTGTTTCTTGAAAAAGCATAAAAAAACGTTTGAAGTACGTTGAAAGGTTCGAAAATAAACACCCCTATTCTGCAACTCTTTCGTATTCGGATTTTGCTACGAATCGTAGAAAGAGTATGCTGCAATCCGAATCGTATTTTCGAACTTTCGAAATTCGTTACAATGGCATGCCTAAAAACGAACAAGTACGTTTTTTGCGTAATTTTGTACGAAAACAATTCTGTGTCGGAGGTGTGTTTGCAGGAAATAATAGCGGTGTTCATTTAAACAGATAAATTTGCGTTTCCCATATACGTACAATTTTATCCACTGCTTTGTATAAAGGAGCAAAAAAGAATCTTTGTTGCCCCTTATCGAGAAACTTGGGTCCGGTTTAGTTATTTGTACAATGATATTCGGTTGTTGTGTCCAAACGTATGACCCGAATCCAAAAACTTTAACCTCACGTTTAATCAAAGGATTAAAATTTTATTTAAAATAAATGTTTCCAATTTCCGAGTACTAGCTTATTAATAAATTCGGTTTCAACTATGCACTTTTTTGCAAATTTCGTGGATGGCGTAGTCGGAGTGATATAATTGAAAATGCAATAGAGCCCACCGTTTCCTTCAAAATATGTAAAATCAAACAATTTTACTATAAATAAGCACTTCATGAGTGTTTTTTTAATTCCTTTCCACTTTGTTTTCCTTCATTTAGCTATCTTCGAAAAACAACTGATAGCTGGCAATGCTGCACACGTTCCCGCAATGGTTGCAGCATATGGATTTTTCGTTTTTCGTATCGTAGCTAAGAATTACGAATTACAAAATTTCGGGTTCTAGAATAAGGGGGAAAGTCTTTTGCTAATGCAGTTTGATGACAAATTTTTGATGCAAAATATTTTTAAACCTCTAAACGAGGTACCGTTATCCGTGGAAGAGAAAGGAGGTTGAGGGCCTGTGCCAAATGATTGAAGAGAAAATTTTGACGGATCAAAGTAAAAATCTGACATTTCTCGTGGTGAATACGAACGTCAGAATTTTACCTAGCTCATGGGGCTAGGTAAAATTTTGACAGCTTATAACCATATATACACATAATATTGCTTGGCGGTAATAAGGAGTGAACATGAAAATGAAAGCTGAAACAGCATAAAAAAGCGTACGTTACTTGCAAATTATAAAATAAATATAAATTTTAAGAATTTCAGCAACTCACAAAAATAAAGCTTTCGCTCGAGCGTTTGTTTGGTTTTTTCAACTGTCAAAATTTAACTCCGCATTCTGCCGTCTCACCACGGAAAAAAAAGTTACCGATTGGCACAGGCCCTGAGATAAAATGATGCCATGCAACTTGTAACTTTTTGGATTCTCGGAATTTTCTGATAAAGATGTGGTGCTGCTTAAAGATATGTATATAAGATGAAAAGTACTGCAGTTTCATTTTCTAAAATTTTTTATTGTTGTTGTTGTTGTAGCAGCATACAAATTCCCCAAAGACATTTTGGGGAGTGTTGCTGGAGTGACAGTCCTTGACCAGATATAAATCTGGGTCGTTCCGGTTACGTAGACCCGACTGTCGTGGGACGGTTCGGTTATTTGTGAAATGATTTTGAGTTATCGTTTCCAAACGCGTGACCCGAATCAAAAAATGTTGACATATGCCGCTAGTCAGAGGATTAAGCTTTAATTTAAAACAAAGATTTCGGTTTGCATTTTTTTGTAAATTTGGAGATGGATTTTACGCAAAAATACTGTGGATTGTGAAAATGATAATTTTACTCTATTTCGAAATGGGCCCCCCGAGTGCCTGTAGAAAAGGCAGGGAGGCGAAGGATGACTTATTGCAAGTTTATACTGCGCTCTTTCTAATGACTGGAGTTTTAGGTGCCACACTTCCCCCTCCGCTTCCTCCGAAATATCATTGCACAAATAACCGATCATTTCCCACGCACAACAATTAAATCCTCTGATATATTGTTTGATTCCTGTAAATGTGGCAAGGTGGCTCATAATTTCGTACAATTTATGAAACTTCAAAAACTTATTTTTTGTCAAATATTTTGGAATGAAACTACCTTCTTTTTGTATCATGCATAACACCACCTTGCATAAACTGGCCTTGATACGTACACGAAAATCTACCCATTTTGCATGAAAAATCGGAAATGGCAGCCCTGCTCTTAATAAGCTATTGTTGGCCTCCGGCGTGTTTTAACACAATTGTTTGTAACCGAGTATTTTCGAAAATTAAAGTATACAATTAATAAGTTAAACTTACATTCCTTTTAAGAATTTGCGACTCAACAAGTGGGTTACGCAGAAAAGGTGATTTTGGATACATTTTCTAATTTTCTATTGATTTCGTTTTACCGCAGAAAGCGTGACGAAGAAAATGTTAAAGAAAACTAGAAAAGTGTGGTGAAAGAATTACCATTTTAGGGCTGCCTACTTTATCAAATTTTCCCTTTGTTTTCTTGTTTTGTATGAAACAGCATTTAGGATTACAGCATTTAAATGCTCTTGAGATAAGTCTTAATTTTAGCTTTCAGACTTTGGTCTGTATTTTCGTATCGAGAAGCTGTTATATTTATGAGGAATTTTAAAAACAATAGCACTGATTAGCAGTTACATTAAAATGCCCATCTTTTGCGTCAAGGGTTGATATGTATGTGATGTATGATGTAGTTTACTCATTTACGCATTCGTACATCGTGGACGACTCTCACGACACGACGTGGCAACTTTTCGTTGTTTCTGCTNTTATGCAGACAAACTTTTGTTTGCCAAATTAAATGGCGGCTGCTTAGTTTGCTCGGAGGTGGTTATGTCGAGTTTGGCACAGGGTTGCACGTTCATTATGGTTTTCATGGCTATTGCCAACACGAAATGAGAATTTCAGATGTACATAACGCGCAAAATTTAAAATTTTTGTATATGACAACACCGAATTTGCTGCAGTTTGACCAAACAAAATTAGTTTGCTGTGAGAGTCGCCAAACTCGCTCTCTCCGAGTTTGCTGCAACAACAATTGCACGCAGTTTGCCAAACAAAATATCTGCATAACACCGACCTTAGCTTAAAATAAAGTTAGATAAATTTTTTCGCTATAGCTGTCTCTAGATGCTCGTATGCGAGGTGACAAACTATTCGTGGTGAGCTAACAATTTTGTACGTAAAATAGCGTACTTTAATTTGGTGTGTTCGTGTGTTTATTGCTCTGTGATTTTCGCTGACATTTCCAAGCAGAATTGAAAAAAATTCTGCAATTGCGTGTATAAAATTGACTCATTGAATTGGTGCGTATTTGAATAATTAAAAAATATGGATATTGGTTCTGTGTAAATAGCAAAATGTAGCGAGTTTGATATAGGATTCCGCTGTTGCTGCTTATAAAGTTGCCTCCATGTTTTTCGCAGTAGGGTGACAACATGCTATCCTTTTCAGATATATATGTAATTGCTGAAAAACTATGTTGAATGTGTAATTCTAAAGTCAAAAGTTTTACTTTATACAATGTGTTTATATATAAGAAGTAAGAACAATTTTATGTGTGGGCAATATAAGTATAAAATCCGTTAATTAGTTTTATTTTAAAGCATCTCTTTAGTGCACTTATTTCGGCAGTTTTCTTTTATGTATTACTACCGTATCGTAGAAAGAATAGTTTTGTGCAGTGATAATGAATGGCCTTTTTATTAAACATCAAAAAACTCAATTTCTAAATGATGCGGGTATTCCCTTAAGATTAAGGACATCAAGTTTAAACTAGGGGTCGTATCAAGATTTACAATTTTTCGTTTGTAAAAGTCAAAAGCATCAAGCTTAAAGTTAGGTCGTCCAATTTAGAATGTTATTTTTCATTCGTAAAAATCAACGCGTGTGTATTTCTAGTGCTCCATTTAATTTTATTCCAAACTTTAGAAACCCCTTGGAGGGACGGGGGAAATTAGCCTCGTCCAATTTCATATCGGGCACATCGGTAATATATTGTTCACCTCGTTTATCTGCATCTGTATGGTGAATTTTACCGTAGTTTGCGGGGAATTACGTCTCGCCCAGAATTCATTTTTGGTGTATTGGCGGCTTTCTATCGGTGTTTCCTATTGCCGACGTTACTATCTGGCTCTATTGCTGTTTATCGTGCTTATTTTTGCGCTTTTCTACACTTGTTCCTACGTACGTTCAATCGTCGTCAATTATTGGAGTTTCTCCAGCTTCTTTCTCTTTTCGTTTTCGTCGTGTATTTGACGTAGGGTGGTGCTTTGGCCGTCCTGCAAAAAAGAAGAAAATCGGGTAATATAGAAAAATAATTGTATCAATAAAAGAATTTTAATAATTAAGAAAAAATGGCTATTAAAATGAGAGTGATGTTCAAAGTTTTGAATTATGTTTCCTGCAGTTTATAAATTAATGCGAATCGTACTTGGTTACAGCAACATAAAAAGTTAAAGCCATGACATGGCAGTTCCCTGAGTTTTTGCTTCGTGTTTCCAATAATGCATGTACAATATATGGAGATAATAAAGCTGCTGTTTTTTCAGCGGAGAAATCAAATAGCTTTTTCAATAGATAGTTAATAAAAAAAAGTTTAATGGCATTTGAGTGTCTGAAATGCATGCTGACTCACTCGAAAATTTCTGGCCCTCCACCTCTTATCACCTTTCTCGCATTTTAGATCTTTCCAACTGAGATTATGAATCGAATTCATAATTAAATATATCTACATACATACTAGCGAATTCACGAGTGCAAAGTATCAGATCCTTTAGGTTGATATGTAGGTATGTATATACATATATCTAAAAGCGTTTTATAGTTTTCAACTTGCTAGGGGTTGTATTGGAGCCAAACCTATATAATTATAGTGGAAAGAAGTAATAACTATCGTTGAGACTTATCAATCACCTTCTGTATATTACAACTTTGTTTCTCACCTCATTAAACTAAAAAAAATTCTTGACTGATATTTTAATGTATGTGGCTTGTACCTATAACGTTTATTTACAGCCATCCTGTTTGTAATTTGTATTCCGGCTGCAGCTTTAACTTGCTGAAACTCGGATCGATTATTGAATAGCGGATAATCCAATAAAGCTAATATTTTAATATCGAAGCTCGCAATTTAACGCTTGGAGTACAATAATATCCAGATCAAGATCAAACTTTTATAACTTGAATAAAAATGGGGAACGTTTTTGCAAATTTATTTAAAGGACTTTTTGGAAAAAAGGAAATGAGAATATTGATGGTCGGATTAGATGCCGCTGGTAAAACCACAATTTTGTACAAACTCAAATTAGGCGAAATTGTTACAACGATACCTACCATTGGTGAGTTCAAGGAAAAAATGAAGAATAAAAACAAAAATAAAATATTTTCCTTGCTCTCCGCTAGGTTTCAACGTCGAGACTGTAGAATACAAGAATATTAGCTTTACAGTATGGGATGTGGGCGGTCAAGATAAAATTCGTCCATTGTGGAGGCATTACTTCCAAAATACACAAGTAAGTCGGGTTTGTGTGTGCTGCAAATATCCTAGTTATATTAAGTTTAGTCTAAAGTAGTTCTTTTATTATGCAAGTTCTTAAATAATTGTTTCGCGTTGTTCTATTGAAATAGGGTCTTATATTCGTCGTTGATAGCAATGACAGAGAGCGTATCGGTGAGGCGAGAGAGGAATTGATGCGTATGTTAGCTGAAGACGAGCTCAGAGATGCTGTTTTACTAATATTCGCAAACAAACAGGTGCGTATCTTTAAAATTATTTTATGGCGATATGTACGTATGGCTCATTCCACCGGGTGACGGGTACGACATTTCAACTCTTATTTTAAGGCTTAATTCTTAAACTGCAATATAAAATTATATAAAACGAGTATTTTCTAAAAGGTTTTCGAGGTATACATAATGCCTAGAAAAAAATCAAAACCAATTTAATCCAAAAGAGTTATATGGATTTTAGTCACTGTGATTGTTTTTGGTTTTGGTCACTTCAATGCAAAATCTTGGAAATTGAATTTTTATTTCACAAATTTGATTTTAAGTATATAAAAATTTACAGTACATCAACAGGCCATTCACTATTCCTTAAAAGCACCAAGTAAATGCAGGCAACATGTAAACACAAAACAGCTGATAGCCACTTTAACACTTTATCCATTTATGCCCGGAGAAAAAGACCGGGCTATTCCGGACACGAAGAAGAAGACATTTACGTTCCAATTGTGGAATGCATTCGCTCTCTAATGCCCATTTTCTGGAGTACGGAAACGATTTCTGGGCTATTCCGGGCATCCTCGGGATCCCGCGTTGCGTTAGAGACCAAACTTTTTGTGACGTGTGTGACAAGTTGAGCGTGAATACAAAAATATGTGTATTAGACAACTAAACTAATTTATTTCTCAAAAAATCGGATTTTACGGACACAAAATTTTCTACCATCTAAAGACCGGATATTCTTTGATCGGATTTTTCATCTCCACTGTCTGCCTGAGTCTTTGTAAAGTACCTTATTTTTAAATAGTACTACTTTTTTAATGAGGATGTTACCTGTCAAACCGTATGAGATACTGTTTTTGCCCTGACAAGTGAGGTAATGGTTCCTTTTTATCCGTGACAGCATAACTTAAGTTTTCCCATCGCTCGAGCAACATATCTTTATGATTAGCTTTATCATCGCTGACCACAAACAGATATATGGTACATTTCAGATTAGCAGATAAGTAACGGTAGCAGTCCCTGGCCGAACTTATTGAAATTTGTCAAACTTTAAATTGCGACGGGTGTGACATTTGCCGGGCGTGACCAACATATTCTGTTATTTTTTCGAAAATATCAAAATATAAATACCAAAAAGCTATTCGCACAAATTCCTCTGTGTCATAGCGTTACTTTCGTCATCTTTTTTGCACTGGCGAAGATGTGTTTTCCTTTAAATATAACTATTTTTTGTATTTTGTGACGGGCGTGACATTAAAATATGCTTTGCTTCAAAATATAATAAAATATTTAGTACTTGCCCGAAAAATTTGAAAATTACACTGTTACAATGCTGACGAATTCTCTCTATTGACCGTTTAAAGTTTAAACTTTAAACGAAGCAAAAAAGACAATAGACTCGAAAATCAGTCTTGTCAATCTTGAAGAAAATTAACCTCTCATTTGAGTTTGTGAATGGTGCAACCTAAAGTAAAAAAAAAAAACAAGTAAGAAAGTCTAAGTTCGGGCGGAGCCGAACACTAAATACCCGGCGCAAGTATGAAATATATGTTTTCCACCTTTCCGAAAGTTATCGCTACATGATAAGCCGGGGTGTATAAATTTTAAGTAAATTAGCGTCCTTAAATTTCGTAATATTGAAATTTCAAGCATTTCTGAAATTTACTGTTATATGAAAAGCGGCCATAATTTTAGTCCGATTTCAACAATTTTCAACGGTTTGCAAATTGCTAGAACGGTTAGCGAGATACATATATGTGATCATAAGTGGGCGGTGCCACGCCCATTTAAAAAAAATTTATCATGTTGTTGTAGCAGCATACAAATTCCCCAAAGACTTTTTGGGGAGTGTTGCTGGAGTGACAGTCCTTGGCCAGATATAAATCTGGGTCGTTCCGGTTACGTAGACCCGACTGTCGTGGGAACGAAAAAAAAAAATGAGCGTACCAAGGCACATTAAACAGGTAGTATCAGTAGAGCAAAAACAACATTTGCGTGTATTTTGTTGTTGCTTCTGGTATCGAAAGTGTCAAAAACTGTTCTGAATTTTTTCTTCTAAATCAAAGCGTGCCATGTGAAATACAAAAAATTATAAAAAATAAAAAATTGAAATTGGAAAAAATAAAAATGTATGCAACTTTCTTTCCTAGTAAATTTGTTTGCTTCTCGAAGCATTGATCCATCCTTTGCAAGGCCCAGTAATCAGCGGTCGTGCTGCCGAGTTGGGCGAACGTTCCAAAAGCTGCTATTCATTGCATGCATTCACATGCAAATGGATTTTAACAATTCAGAATTTTTTTGAGAAAAAATTAAAAATATTTGACATTTTCGAGACCAAATAATTTGAAAATAAATCAAATCAGCTGCTCTACTGATACTACCTGTTCAATGTACCTTGGAGCGTACATAAAATTATGATATGATGAATAAAAAATTTATCATAAACGTATTTCCTAGTAAAGAATTGTTGCAACCATCAATTTTGAATAANATACTATTCTCGCTGCCAACTAATCAACCTTACAACACTGGATAACAGAAGATCCATTTTAGCGTGCACGTTTGTCGTTAACATCATAACTGGCTCAATTGACTGCCCTTCTCTTCTAGAAAAGATTGCATTTAATATTCCCTCTAGAATCCTCCGCCATTGGGATTTCTTTAAAATAGGTTTCTCTAGAAGCAGTTATGGTGCCAACGCTCCGATCTCTAGAACGTGTGCTGAACTTAACCTAGTCTTCAATGCTTTGGACATTGATTTCTCACAATCAGGCCCTGCCTTGGTTACTCATCTGCGAACATTTTTCTCTGCGCTATACCACTAGCGATGTATTTAATCTTAGCTCTTGTGAACTTAATGTATTTAAAATTTATCTTAATTTTTAAGTTTTAGTAGCACTTAATTAGTGTTAGCTGAGTAGTCTGTAAGAATATTCTGTATTCCAAGACTGAAATAAATAAATAAATAAATAAATATGCGAGCTATATACACATGTAACCATAAGTGGGCATGTCTACGCCCATTTTCCAAAAATTTTTAATACTCATATTTTTCGTCTAAAAATCATTGTAAATATCAATTTTGATTGAATTATCTTTAGTAGTTACTAAAATATCGCAGTTTCCGTATTTCTGAAAATTACCGTTATATGGGAGGTAGGCGTGGTTGTTGTCTGATTTCGCACATTTTCAATATCATCCGTCCTACGCCCGAAAGAAGTGCACGTACCAAGTTTCGTTAATAGGGAATTTACGTGAGGCGATTTTTAGTCGAAAGCAACAATCGCCTGGTGTAAACAGCCTTTCAACTAATCGCTTACAATGAAGTTGGTCGGCTCCCTACTTTCGTTCAACTTTTGGTTCAACTAATCGCCTGTGAAAGTTGAATCATGTAGATTCCCTATAAGATATCACAATTTTTACTCGAGTTATCGTGTGCACAGACGGACGGACGGACGTACAGACAGTCACCGCTTAATCGATTTCTCTTTTCATTCTGATCATTTATGTATACATTTGTCTAATCTATCTCGATTCGTTTTGCCTGTTACAAACAACCGTTATGTGAACAAAGTTATAATACCCTTGTGCACAAGTGCGCTCGGGTATAAAAATATAATTCAGGAGTCCCAGAATTTAGTGGAAACCATCTCGCCTATTTCCATCTGATTACATAAAATTATGATAACGAGAACCAATTTTCAATATAAAACCGTCGTCGACAGGCCTAGAACTCCAAAAAACTCTTTGGAAACTTTTATGTTGTTACGACAACAACAACCATTACATAAATATACAGTGCATTCGCGATAACTCGAACTAATGTAAAGCAGATGTGTTCGGGTTAACTAATTGTTCGAGTTTTCGAATGATACGTATTTTTATTCCAGTGTGCACTATAACTTTGTTCACATAACGGTTGTTTGTAACTGCCTAAAGGAATTGAGATAGATATCTGTGTTCGTATGGTATAGTAGCTTATGTCGGGAAGCTGGTTTTAGTATAATGCGGTATTCCCTTCATTCTTTAAACGACAAAGAATTTTTTGATGGGACTTAATAAGAATATTATTGACTTGCTAGTATTGGAACTTTTCTGTACGTTTATTTGCCAAAAGTTCTTCAATGGCTCGGCGCCGGTGGACCATTCGCAATCGTGTGCCGCGAATGCCGCATTATACTAAAGCCATTCTTTCGACATAAGCTACTGTTCCATACGAACACAGATATACACTAACCACAACGTTTCCGTACCGTGTTTCTTTTTTAAATATTTGCAATGTTTTTCGTAATAAATTTTTTTCGTTAATTTTTAATAGAAATATAGTTCATTCTGCATTTAATGACTTATACATTATCTGAATACAAAATTCAATCAAAATCGTTAGAGTCGTTTTCTAGAAACCTTTGGATATATATGCATACATATTTACAAGAATTGACTGTTTAAAGTAATAAGATACATACATATATGTAGATTGCGAAAAAAATCGTACGGTTTTACTATCTTAAATTTTTACTAGAACTTACCCTTAAGTAGAGAATTTTTTGCTAAATGTACTGACAACTATTTTCTCCCTGCAACTCCAAATTTTTATATTGAACCCCTCCTCTCCCACCGCCCCAGCCCCCCTCTTAACGTTGTCGGGCGTCTTGACTTTCCCATCACCCCCCCATTGCTCATTGAACAATTTTACAGAACACCCTGTACATGTAGAGAACAGGTACAGTACTGCAGCAGTATTTTCAGTTCAGTCAGTGCACAGCAAACGCACCGTTTCAGCAGTTTTTTTTATGTTTGTTTCCAAACTACGAACTGTCATGCATAACACCCAAGTAAGAATCTCAGCGCCGTTGAGTGATGTTACGTAGATTTATGACTAGTTCATTTCTCTAATCCATTAAAGTTTGCAAAAATACGATATTTTTCGTTGTAGCTCTGCCGGTACCAGATCATATTATATTTGTATTAAACTATTTGAATTATTTATTTATTTATTTCAGTCAAAGAAAACAAAATTCTTACTG